AACCCGCCACCTTAGGTGTATGTGGCTGGCACCTTAGCTACCTGAGCCACAGGCGCTGAGCCGACCCCATTTTCCAAACATATTAAACTTGACCCTTGATGGAGGTCTCTGGTGTGGGCCAGGCCCCTACTTTTCCCTCTTCTGTCTTGTCCTCTACTCTCTGGATGAAGATACAGGCCCTTAGAAAGGGATCTCCTCAGAAGGGGTTGGCTGAGGCCACTGGGAAGGCCCTGCCTGTTTTGGATATCTCCTCCTCAGGCCATGTCTCCTCTAATCTAAGGTAGCAAGGCCAGCAAATGCCTGCCCTGAAGGGGACAGGGTTAGATGTGTGACTTAATAAGGTTGAGAGCCACATGTAATCCCCTAAGTACTTTGCTGGGTAACCTAAGATTATCTGGCCTGCAAACACCTGTTTTCACCCCTTTGTTGATAGCAGTATAAAAAGCATGCTGCTTAATACTCTAGGAACTGACAAGGGGTGGGGTGTACAACCATTTGTCCTATCTTGGACGTATCTCTTGGTGAGCTAGGCTGCACGTGCCCATCAGCAAGGGTGATGAAGGACTGGAAGGGCTTGCCCAGGTTTCCATCCATACACAGTTGTCAGGACCGTGCAGGAGACTTAAAGGTCAGGGCAGGGTTGTGGGTTCTTGGATCAGTGTAGCTGCTTACTCCCTCAGTGATGGGCAATGGGCCAGTCGTTTAGCTCCCCAGTCCACAATTTGTACGTCTTGGGAGGGAGGTTCTGTTTGCTATACACAAGGTAGTCACAAAGACCTGGGGAGGTCAATGTGACCAGACGTAGGTAGCACTACACTTGTAGAAGATAGGAACTAGACTGATGTAGACTCTTTGAGAGCAGAGCTGGTGCCAACCCTGTGAAACTGACCAATCATGTTCTAATCATTTAGAACTGCAAGTCTCTGCTTCGGGTGGCACAGAAGATGTTGCCAATTTGTTGGAGAATCATTTCTCTGCTGGAGATGCAAGTCTAGAGGAGAAAGAAAGGGTGCTTTATGCAGATGCAGCCCCTCAAGATGAGAATCTACTCCTTCACTACTCAGATTGCAGGGGGGCTGACAGCCAGGAGAAGACCACTGCTGGGGCCCCTCCCACTGACCCTGAAGCCAGCCTTTCCAACGTCTCAGCTGCAGAGTCAGCTCCAACTGGAGACAGGGATGCTGAGGGGCCTGGGGAGGAAGAGGAGGGCCCCCTATCAGCAAGCACCCTTCCTCCAGGAGGGGATGAGGGGCCCATGGAAGAAGAAGGACCTGAGCTCAGCTCTGGAGAGGAGGCAATGGGGCTTCCTGCAGAGGGAGCTGCCCTTGGTGGCACAGAAGGATGGGCTGGTAGTGGCGAGGTCCCCAAGGAAGCTGAGGAAGTCCCAGGGGACAGCCAGCCTGAGGCAGAGGGGGCCTCTCCTGGCTTAGCAGGCGAAGAGTTTCACAGCCTGGACATGGAGGGTTTGGGCAGCCCAGGGGCTGGTCAGGAGCCAGAAGTGCTTAAAGGAGCCCCAGATGTGGCTGTGGGAGAAGAGCTATTGGACATTGACACAGGAGCCAGGGGAGGCACTGAGGCCCAGGGCAAACCTGGCACAGAGGTGAGGGTCAGCTCAGGGTCTGAGGGCACCAAGACCCCTGAGGCAGGAGGCACAGAGGAGGACATGGATGAGGCCTCCTCTGAAGAAGAGGCTGGCGACAACAGTGGAATCCCATCTGCAGAAGAGTCAGAAGAAAGTGGTGATGCGGCAAGTTCAGAAGAAGCAGAGGATGCCTCTGAGGAGGAGGAGGAGAAGGAGAAGGAAAAGGAGGAACAGAAGGAGGAGGTGGCAGGGGAGCCTGAGGAAGCAGCAGGAACCAACAGTCATCGGGACAAAGGGGCTCAACTCAGCCCCAAGGAATTGAATCCAAGGCCCGAGGGCGACAAGGCCCGGGAAGCTATGACAGAGGATCTCGAGGAGGGACTTCTGGGGAGGGGGGCTCCCACGACTGCTCCCCAGGGTAGGAGTTCCTTAAGAGCAACCCAGCACCTTGGGCAGCTGTATTCTGGAAATCTTGTGTTGGGGGAACAGGCAGGGACAGGGTGGGACAGTCAGATAGACAGGCAGGGACAGTCTTGTGTTGGGGGGACAGACAGGCCCCAGCCAATCTTGGGTTTGGCAGGGAGGTCCCAGGCAGGGTTCCTACCTGGGGATTTGCCTTTGGGCTGCACATTAGCTACTTGCCTCTGGTTTGGAGGGGCTGGTGAGTGGGTCCAGAGGGCCTTGGAACTTCTGAGCCAGGCCAGCTAGCCTCCCCTTCCGGGTCCCTGGATGCACTTTAATACACATCAGCACCTCAGCCTAAAGAACTGAGGGGTTTATGATGGGGTCCCCGTGGCCAGCTGGTGGAGGGTGTGCTGGGAGTTGGTGGGGGTGGGTTGGGAATGCCTGGGTGATTGCCTGGGTAAGTAAGCACTTGGGGTCTTCCCTGAAGACTAGGCCATAGATGGCATTGGAGAGCTGAGACCATCATGTGATAAGAACTCAGGCTGGCTGTGACCACTGATGTCTTACAGATGCTCACTTGAAGCAAAGGGATGGGACCAGGAGCAGGGGGTGGGGAAAGGGCAGGGCCCTCAGAGTAGTATCTGGCACTGGGAACTCACTGAGTGCCGACTTAGACCAAAGTTGGGCTCTCAGGGTGGGGTGGGGGTCTTAAGCCTTTACTTTCCCAGGTGGCTCCCCCCAGGGTTGCTTGCAGACTCTATCTTGCTTACTCTCTGTGGGTGCTTGTGCCTTGCAGAAAGGAATTCGTGCTGCAGTCAATAAGCTCCTTGCCTTCCTCTTTCCCTGCCCTCCCTCTTCTGGGTCTAGGTGAAGCATCACTGTCCTGAGGTACTGCACAAGGCTGATTGATTCTTCTTTACTTTCCAACCCAACTGGAAGTGGCTTCCCTCTGCCTCATGGGCTAGGGTCCGCCACTCCTAATTACCTAAAATTCCCTCTACAGGCAGCCTGGGTGGAGGTGGCTGGGATATTAGAGGCCCCGGGGAGTTGAGCATCCCTCCTCAGAGTCTGCAGATAAAGTGAGCATCTCTTGCTTGCTTGGACAAAAGAATAGTTGACCCACTCCCCCTTAAAGGTACACAAGATGTGATGTAGGGGCTCTTCCCAGCCCTTCACACACAGCCAGTATGATCCTAGTGAAGTACTCACTTGGCTGTGACAGTTGTCTGCTTAGAGCTCCTTCTGATTTCCTTTGCTGTTAGGATGAAAAGCAAACCCTGGGGAGGCCCTTGAGGCCCTGCCAGACCAGCCCTGTCTTTAGCTGCCTAGTACTCAGCTCTGCCGCACTGCTGCAACATCCCTTCCTCCTGCTTCTTGCTAAACAACTCCTGTCTCAGGGCTTCCACAGGAAACTTTTGTGCCTTCTTTGCTTAACTCACTCCTACTCAGCAGTAGACCTGGGAGGTTCTTTCTGACATCCTTGCTGAGACTGTGCAGGCTACTGCTTGGCATACTTCCCTCCTAGCTTCTGAGCATTTCTTCCCATGGCCATTTCACCATTTATAACTACTATAATATTTTGCTTCTATTATTTACTTATTTGAGACAGAGTTTTACTTTGTCACCCTCTGTGTGCTGTGGCATCACAGTTCACAGCAACCTCAAACTCTTGG